ATTTGTCCTTGGTTTGGTGATAATACGGATTGGTAGTGGATATAATGGTCGTCGACGGTGTGATTGGTACTGGTTTGGTAGTTGTTAGAATTGTAGCATTGGGAACGGACTAGGATCTGGTTCGAGGGGGGGAAGGTCTGGATACACGTCTCGACTTGGATGGAGACTGAGGGGTGGTTTGCTGGTCCAAAAACGCACAGAAGGAAGAAAGGTTGGCGGATCCTGGATCACGTGGTGAAGATTCAGATGGTGTGGAAGGGGAAGACGAGTCTGAAAGTGAAAAGAGAAGGGGTGTGCCCTCTCTACGAGAGCGTTTACCTATGTCTGCTGGACTAGGAGTAGGTGAACTTCGGGCTCGTTTAGGGGTTTGGTTCGGCAGTGTGGTGGCTCTAGATGGTGCAGGTGTAGTGTCCATGTCAGTTGGTAGAGATATGGTTACTCTGGTCTTTGTTCCGTTGATTGTTTGGTAGAATTTGGAGATTACAGCTTGAGTGAGACGTTTCCCATAGGAGCGACGGGCCCAGGACAGGGCATGAGAAACGATGCGGTCGACGGCAGGTGATGATAAAGACTTGGTACGAATGGTGGTCAGCTTCTCTTGAAGTGTGGTTTGGTAATGGTCGATCAGGACTTGCGTAACCTTACAGAGCCATATCCAACTCAGAGACTTTGCGTTTGAAGGTAAACGCTGGTTGGCCTTGCTGTTGAAGGGTAAGGATTGCCAAATGATGGAGGCACTGCAAAACTTGGAAGAACACCTTCACAAAGGGTTCTTCCTCCTTATGAGTGGGGACTGGTTGGCGTCGGTGGGCTGGTAGTCGTTTCTGTTGTTGGTCAGGTCGATGGTTACCTCTTGATTGGTAGGCTGTGTTGTAAGTAGGTCGGCGATGGGGTGGGATATAGCTGGATGGGTTGGTTGGTGGTCGGCGATTGGTAGGTGGTAGAGGTCGATGGAAGACAGGGCCGTTGTAGGGTACGTGATATTGGTTTGGTTGACGATTAGTGTTTCTATGTCTGGCTTCTTGCCAGTGGTTGTTGTAGTTGGGGAGCATAATGAAAATAACTTGGGGTTAGGCCACACCAATTTAATTAGTTGAATTACAGGCAAAACTTTTGAAAAAAGCAGGGAGCAGGGGGGGATAAAAATAAAACAAAAAAAAAAAATCTGCATTTCAAGAAGACGAAAAAGGAATGTATTTAAAACTTTATTTATATCCTTTGGAAACAAACAACTTAAATTGAGCCTCAATGAATATATTGAAAAGATTGAAAAGATTAAAGGTGGTATGTCATGTGTGTAATTATGCCTTTAAAACGAAATACACTCAAAATATATCTTAGATACAGGAAAGAGAATTGGCCGAAAGCCTTTAAAATGTCAAAGATAACACATATTAAATGCAAAATTAAATTTAAATTGTCTTAAAACTGCTACGGGTGTAACTATCTCTACATCGGTAGTTTCATGGTCTATTTCGATACCGGCTTTAACGCTGGAGACGGTTACTTCTTCTGTGTCCTGCCATCCGGAGCGCGTCAACAAATTACCAACATTTTCGTCATCAGAGGCACGCATTATAGTTCGTTTTGTGACACGGCCCTCGGTACATATGGAGACGTTGATATACACATCGAGTTCAACGCTCATTTTCTAACATTTTCACATAGATGTATTTTCATTACAACAATTGAATAATGGCCGACGAGAGAATTTTTACAAAATTTGCAGATTGGAACGAACCAAATCACAAATCATGTGTTGTTGGTTTATTTTATTTTTTGAAAGGCTTTTCCAGATTTCCAGAACTAATCTCGTAATACAACAAATTTTAAAACTATCTAGCCAACAATCAACATATTACAAACCAATTTATCTTTCGAATGAAAATAGCTTCGGTTCAAGATTTATTTTAGAAATTTGCAGGCACCTCATTTGCATAGTCGTACTTGCTTTGTAGTACCGTTATCAAAAACATCGTGGAACTAGCCTTTTGTCTCATTAACACTGACTGACCATTCAACAGAGAACGCTTTCGCTAAGCGAGTACAACTTATCAACCGAGTTACGTCCCTTTAGGATTTCGTGTTGAAATTTTTACATCGGCGGACACAGTAAGAATAAAAAAAAATAGATTTTTTCATTTTTATTTTTATTGGGATTCGTCAAAAAAGCAGGTCGGCGGGCCCGTAATCCAAGTTTATAAATTGGTGTGGCCTTAGAAGGGAATGTACAGCGGATGTAACAGGAGGAAACTGTATATGCTAGCGTGAAAATGTTGGGATCAAATTATGCAAATAAGTCAAACTGGGTTTGGGGATATATAAAGTAAGATGAAAAATGCAAAAAAATATATATTTAGGTGATAAATAACGCTAACAATGATGTGAAAAAAACGCGTCAAAATGTGTTTGTGAGCACAATAGAAGCTACAGTTTTCAACCAAATTTGATCAAACTTGTTATGATCATTGGAATTGATAAGATCTCGGACAAGTTCTAACTTAAGGCATTTTCAATGAACGCTTTCAGAGTTATTTTCCTTGACCTTGTAAAACACTTCAAAATTTGTTTATGAGCACAATAGAAGCTACAGTTTTCAACTGATTTTGATGAAACTTGGTGTGATCATTGGAATTGATAAGATCTCAGACAAGTTCTAACTTGAGATATTTTTGATAAACTTTTTTTGAGTTATTGCCCTTGACTTTGTGAACACGCATCAAAAAGTTGTTTTTTGCCCTTGATTAGAGCTGTGTGATTTAATTGTTTGTTGTATTTGGGTTATTGATATTGATTTTAAAAAATTTTGTGGAATTACTCAGCATAAATAACTGGCATATATATGTGTAATTGAATTCAAACTAATAAAATTTATTCAATATGAGAAAATTCGTACTTTAGTCACTAAAGACTGTTTTATCCTTTCTGACAGCTGCCAGTGGGCGTATGTTGCCTTGCCTCACAAGCTATCTTCTATTCGGCCGTAACAACACAAAATTCCACTCTGGTCTAACTTGATTTAGCGAAACAGTCCTTTGCTTGAATTTATCATCATGTGTGATATGGTTTTGAGTATCCTTAAACCAAAGATTTTTGATGTGTTGGCTAATTCTGTTGACGTGCTTGATATCCGCAGGATTTTCTGATATTGAACAGTTATTCCAATTTTAAATCGTAGAAATTTTCCTTATTTCAGTTAATTGATTTTGTTCAAACTGCTTGTACTCCTTGTTGATATTTCTAATCCAGCTATAGGCCATCTGCGAATCAGACCAATAGTAGATTTTATCAAAGTTTTAATGATGTAATGCTTTCACCACACTCACAGTAAGCTGTGCAGATACAAGACAGGCTAAAAGTTCAAATCGAGGCTTTGTTTGCTTTGACAAAGGAGCAACACGAGTCTTTGATGCTATAAGATTAGAATGAATAAATGTTTTTGATTACACCTTAAATAAATACAAGTACCAAATGCTCGTTCTGAAGCATCACCAAAAACATGAAGTTCAATCCCACAATTGTCACAATTGTCAATACAACAACATCTAGGAATTTCCACGATATGAGTCATTTTTATACGCCCACATGGAAATGTGGACGTATATTGCCGTCGCCCCCTGTCTGTCGTTCCATCAGTTCATTGGTCTGTCGGTCCGTCAACATTTTTTGTGAACACATAGAGACTACAGTTTTCAACTGATTTTAATGAAATTTGGTGTGATCATTTATATTGATGAGATCTTGGTCAATCTTTACAATCTTTCGATGAACGGTTTTTGAGTTATTGTCCTTGACTTAAGAAATACGCGTCAAAATTTGTTTGTGAACATAATAATAATTTCAACTGATTTGAATAAAATTTGGTGTGATCATTTATATTGATGAGATCTTGGGCAAGTTCGAATTTGATATTTCAGTGAACGGTCTTTGAGTTATTGCCCTTTACTTAGGAAAAACGCATCAAAATTATCTCCATTTTGGTATCTCATTCGCTTTTTTAGCATAATTAGTTGAGATTTTATGGCAATTTTTTTATGACATTCCAGCAATTCGTAAAAAATCAACTTATGGAGAAAATGCCATTTAAAGATTTGAACACTAAATCACTGCTAGTCCATAGCAACGAATGCGTTATATTAAAGATAGGGCAATTATTTTTTGTTTAAGGACTTTTGGCTGAAAATTGTCCTTGCCATGGTAACGGCAAAGGACGTTGTATCTTTAAAGCCCAATAATGTGACGTTATAACCTTTGTTTGACATTGTTGCACATTCAACTTCTTTGAATTCATCCAAAACGTCACTAAATCATCAGTGCTAAGTTTACAGATATAAAGTAAATATATCTAATCTGGTTGTCATGGAAACAAATTAAAAAAAGAACACAATTTACTCGAAATTTGACGAAATTACTGCCGTTTGTTTGTATCTTTGCAAAAAAAAAGGTAATTATGATAATTTACAAACATTTTGTTGTAAAAATTGAAAAAATATATACACAAGTTCATGCAAATTGTCATTGCCATGGTATCTGCAAAGGACGATGTATCTTTAAAGCTCAATAATGTGAGGTTATAACCTGTGTCTGACACTGTTGCACAATCAACTTTTTTGAATTTTTCCACAATTTCACTAAATCATCAGTGCTAAGCTTATAGATAAAAAATAGATATGTAACCTGGTTGCCATGGTAACAAATTAAAAAAACACACAATCTACTTGAAATTTGACGAAATTACTGCATTTTTAGTTTTGATGATTTACAAACATTTTGATGTACAAATTGTACAAATATATCTCTATCAGGTGTAATTGATTACCCCTTTAGAGTTGGTTAACTTTATCATCTTTATATATATATCAATGTTATCTATGCTTTATTGTGAAATTTCTTAAACACCAGATCAATTCAAAGTGGGTGTATCTGATTAAGGGTTACTATCTAGGAGTACATAATACATCTTTTTTGGCAATAACTATGTATTATTAAATATTTTACAGCGATTCTATATACCAACTTCAAGACAGTTAAAGAGAATTGAATCGACAACAAGATCACCAATATATTCTCATTTTAGTGAGACAATAACAGGTGCTTCTTCAATACGGGCTTATGGAGTTTCAAGGAGATTTATTGAGGAATCACAGCTGAAAGTTGACAAAAACTTGGTTTTTTATTTTGCTGGAATTGCATCAAATAGGTAATAATATTTTCTTTATCCTTTTTTTCCCAAATAAAAGACACTTCAATGTGCATTTGGCCATAAACAGGCACTTTAATAACACCAAACAAAACAACAGCACTGTATATTTATACACAAACCAATATCTTGTACCAAGCAACCATTGCCTTACACTAGGCAAAAAATGCCTTACACCAGGCAAACAATGCCTTACACCAGACAAACGGTGCCTTACACCGTGGCAATCATAGCCTTACTCTAAGCAAACAATGCTGACCACAACAGACAAGATCCTTTAAAAATTCTTAATATTTAACTACCCATGCCTTATATTTAGCATATACTGCTACTTACCAATGGCAACTGATGCCAAAAAATGCAACCGATGGTTAGAATAACAATATACGATACAGGATTTTCAAACATACAAACTAAATCATTCATTAAACATGTTCTTCCTGTGTGTAAATGATTACTACTCCGATAACTCTTTATCCAATCATTTTATTATCTCCCTTTACAAAGCTCTAGCTATATTCTAAAATAATTTAACTATCAGCCAAGCGCCCAAAGGATGAGAGAAATTATATGAATATATAGCTCGAGGGCTTGAGGATTATTATTGCATATTCCTGGTAATCCAGCCAGAATATGCTCTAACACTCATGTGTAAAGTAAAAAGAAAAAATATGAACCCTGACCTATGTCACTTGATCATAGTTGATGTCAGGCCCAGCAACCTATTTAAAGCCAGGCATGTTGTCAACCTTAAATTATATAAACATATAACCCGGGAGGGACTTGGGAGGGAAGATTAATCCTCAAGCCCTCGGGCTATATATTCATATAATTTCTCTCATCCTTCGCGCCCATCGGGCGCTCGGCTGAGAGTTCAATTATTTTCCATCTATGCCCTTCGGGCATTTTGGATTAATATTGCATAATTTAAAGAGGTTGACAACAAGAATTGAAAAAAGATTAAAAAACCTGAAAATGTTCATAATTTATTCAACACAACATCTGAAAAAGAAGTCAGGATATCTCTGTTATAGAAGTCTTCTTTGACCTCCAATCAGCTGTCTTCAGTATTTCTGAAATAGAAAGTCCTGCTAAGTTAGCAGCAGACGAGGCAGCACCTCTTAAGGAATGTGGTTTAAAAATATCTGGATTAATGCCGGAAGAAATCAAAGCTTCTTTAATCCACCTGGAAATAGTAGAGGCACATACAGCTTTTTATTGAAAAAAGAAATAAATAAACTTTGTGTTTTACGTTTACTCTCTGTTGTTGAAATATATGTACGTAATGTATGACATGGACAGATGTATAAATTTTTATAATTATTTATGTTGACACTATATAGAGGTTGTGAAGGACGAGATGTTTTTAATATACTCGATGTTGAGAGACTTATAGCTGTCCTGGAATCTTTCACAGAATCTAAAGAGAAAGATGCTAATGTTTGACAACGTTGGGCAGTTGACAATGACAACAGAGAAACTGCTTTAATTGTAAGCATTCGTAGAGACAATGAATCCAATGTATACAAAGAACTTAAATATCGTAATAAAATAGATATATCTCATGTTGCCAAGTAGCGTGGTTTAGGAGGTTTTTGTACAAAAACACCTTTCATGAAACAACCAAGTAAAGGATAGTCTTTTAGACGGGAATTCCCTACAGTTACCAATGTCAGAGCTATACTTGAACGTGTTGCATTTATAACACTATATGAGCAATTAGATTTAACAAATTTTCTATAGATTTTCCCTTGCACACACCAAAGATTCCATCTATTCCAAGCCAACTGATATTGCTTGTTTGTTTTAGGTCGCCATGAGTTAAGGATGAGTTCTGCAGACTCTTTTGAAATGCCTTTACACTGAATGTTTGCCCTGATACAAGACAAACGGTCAACCTGAGGGAATTGCCTTTCAATGGATGTAACGCACCCCTGTAAATCTTTTCTCTTGGGCAAAAGAAGTGGGTAATCCACCAAAAGGTTTAAAAGTAGAGGATACCATACCTGGGTTGACCAAGCTGGAACAACCATTATTGCCCAAGATACCTTGTCCAACAAAATCTTGTTGAGGATCCGTGGTATTAAACTGAAAGGAGCAAAAATATAAGGATAATTACTCCAAGAAATGGTGAAGTTATCACAAGCTACACAGTAAAGATCTGGATACCAAGCAACGTAAGGTTCAATCTGATAATTTAAGGAGGATGCAAATAAATCTATATCTGAAGTATGAAAATAGTTACAAATCTTATTAAATGTATTCTCATGGAGCATCCACTCCGTGGAATTCGAAAAATCTTGATAAAAAGTCAGCCTCCAGGTTGAATTTACCTTGGATATGCTTAGCAGACAAATATATAAATATATTCCGTCTAGAACACCATAACCAAATAGATTTGGACAGTTCATGTAATGAATTGATTGCACCTCCAAGATTGTTAATATAAGCAATGGCAACAGAATTATCAGCTGTATACAGATTTGTATATCATGGAGTTCAGAACAAAGACTTTCAAAAGCCTTAAACACTGCCAACAGTTCTTAGAAATTAATATGATTTCCTTGTTCACTTGGAAGCTATAAAGAATTTGTCTTTAAATTATTTAAGTGAGCTCCCCAACCCATTTCAGATGCATCAGTGGTTACCATCTCATCCACTGGTGGGGGCTGAATGAGATTCCCATTGAAAAGATGGCATTTGTCAATCCACCAATAAAGCTCCTGGATCATATAAGAATCAAGTTTCGCAACAGTGTCGTAGTCAAGGTTGGATTGTGAAAGCTGTCTTGTTTTGCCTTTGTCTAAATAGTGCATATAAAATGAAGCAGGTCGGATTGCAATTCTACTAAAAGAGCAAAAACCAATGAAAGAGGCTAAATCTCTTACAGTGAAAACTGAAGCTAATAAATTTCTAGCTGAAGAGACAATCTTATCTAACTTATCCTGAGTCATCAAAACTTTATATGACTGTGTTTATAATAAAACCAAGAAAGACTAATTCTTTAGATGGTTTTAATTTTGATTTTTCAAAATTTACTTAAAATCCAAGACTATGAAACAAATCTATAGCCTTACATGTGTTAGATCTTGACTCTTCAATAGTTGAAGATGAGAAAAGTGAATCATCTATAAAGTAATAGCTTTCCCAAGAAAGAAAAAATTGGTTTCAAAACTTTGGTGAACACCCGAGGTGCTGATGAAATACCAAATGGCAAACATTTGAAATGATAAATGACATCACGCCAAACAAAACATAAGTACTTCCTTGTAACTGCTGTCAAACAACCAGTTATGTTCCCTTGTTGCATAAACTTAAGGTCATTTAGGAGGCACTGATTTTGGTAATAAAGTAAGACTAACAGAGTCTGCGCATTAGGCTTAATTTGGCACAACAAAACGAGTATGGATGAGCATGGTCTAAATTTCAAGAAAAAGAATTGTTTTTGTTAAAAGCTCCATTAATCGGGGAAAAGGTAATATATTTGGTCCTTTTATTTGTATAATATGTTATGTTCGCACCTCCAGTTATTCTATTGCATATCTTATACATGTTATATTGTCATATTATTAATTAATAACATTTTGCAAGAAATTTGGAATAATCCGAACCTGTCCAACCCTAGATTGGCATTCATGTACCCACCTGTCCTCGCCAATTTTTCCGCATTTATAGATTTATAGAATGTAGAGTTAATTCAGTGTCTCTTTACTAAGCTAAAGACTTATAAGTGTTTTTTATTCAATATTTTTCAGTTTTTACGAGTTTGATTGAGTATTATGTAAAGATTGAAGCCTGTTAATAAATCCAATAATTTGATAACTGGCTGATTAACTAAGAGACTCCGTCAACTCCGTCATTTACGAACCCCGAACAGCCCAGCTGTTACAGTAAAAACTTACGATATTTTGAGAGCTTTCAACAAAACCAATTTATCAAGATTAAAGTTAAGGACCTTTGATGTTTGAAGATACCAAGACCAAGAAAATAGTTAACAACTTGTGAACTGTTAAAGCAAGATTAGCAAGAATAAAACCAAACTAAGTTTATTCAAGATTTAATGAACTATCTTCTAAAATTATTGTTTGTAAAATATTCTACAAACAACCAAGACTTTGTGAAAATTAAATCGCTTTAAACTCTATGTCTGTAAACTACTTTATAAACTACCAAGAATCCAATCTCAAGTGAAGACTTTTAAGAAATAGAAGATTTATTGAAGAAATATAGATAATATTATTAACAATCAAGGGCAATATGGCTACAAGTAAAGAATCAATAAACATTCAAGATGTTAAGAAAACTGAAGAACTTGGAGCTGATGCCAAACCAAAGGATGGTAAACAGTTAAAAACTAAACTTAGCAGAGACTTTGTTACAAGTAAAAGAAGGACTAAGAAATACCAGTATCAGTTACAGTCATTACTTGCAGATCATGCTGATGCTGATAAATTGGTTGCTGCAAGAGAAGAATATGACACCCTCTCGAATGAACTTTATACAACATTCAGTAATTTGGAATCAATTAAAGAAGATGATAAAGAGAGTGAAAATTTAAAGGAAGCATATGAAGCTCTTGAAGTGGAAGAAGCAAATTTATTATTCGAGATAAATAGAAGAATTCATGATTTAAGGTCAGATGATGTATCAGTAGTATGAAATAGAAGTTCAAGATCATATTTCTCCTCTGGTAATGGCATTTTTATACAAAGGGAAGCTGAACCTGTGGATCATGATTCCCGATTAGAGAGAATAAATGAATATGTTCAGACTCAAGATAATTCAAACCCTGTTGAAGTAGACCATAGAATTGCAGAAACACCAACTAGTAGAATTGCTCATGATTCAAGCATTACAACTACTGAAAATCCGACAACTGGAATGGCAGTAAATCCAATCATTGGAATGATTGAAAATCCCACCAACAACATTGTCGGAAATACAACTTCTATAGATTCAACTACAAATGAATTAATATTAAAAATGGTTGAACTAATGTC